CGGGTAGTCCGGGCCCGGAATACCCGGACGTCCGGGTAGTTTTTCTTCGACCACTGATCTGAAAATCTCATGCAGATGAATTTTTTTTCTCGTTTTTATTATAAGTCTATTTTAAGATCATAAAATTTTCATATACATAAGATTTAAAGAATAAAAAATGTACTTAAACGAAAGGAAATTAAAAATACGTAAAAATATACTTACCGATTTCACTGATACCTGTGAATAATATTTCCTTGTTGAGTGCTTGATAAATTGTCTGTTTTCAAATTTGAAGCAGATGAAAAATGAAATTATTTTTAACTGTGTTGGAGTAAACAGATAAAGAAAGGAGTTTCGAAATTTTAAGTGGGAAGTGTTTGGAATTATTTATAACTTAAAAAGGGTATTATTGTCTTTTAAACAATACCATGTTTTTGTAATTGTATAACATTTTAAGGGTAATTTTGTCTTTTAAGCATTTTAAGGCTATTGTGGTGAATGTCAAAAAATTTTGGATAAAGTGGAAAATGGTATGTTTGACAAGGGTAAACTGAAAAGTACCCCCATTGTTTGTCCGACAGAGAGAGGGGGAGAGTAGAGGCGAGTGACGATTAGGGAGAAATTGAAGGTTGACGATTACCCATTGATTGTGACTGTGGACGGTGCCGATGCGGTGGTCGGAGGTTGGTGGACTGCTGGCTGGAGCTTCGAAATCGAAGGTAATAATATTGTACAAGAAGTTGAGCTTCAGTTTTTGTCTCTGATGATAAGCAGTTGAATGTGATTTTATATTTTTTTTGTAAATTTGGCACATTAATTTATACAGCACTTCTTCTACACTTTCTGAAGTAAAAAATTAGTGCCGACTCTTTTGTTAGATAATGCAAAAATTTTATGTACTCTCTCTCTCTCTCTCTCTCCCCTTGAAGGCTTGTGGTGTTTTTTGGTAAGTAATTTGAAGTTAACATTTAGAACTACAGTTTAAGGTTTCAGAGTTTATACGTGGCTCCCCACCTTGCATAATTATTACTTATGGAATGCTCTGGTGTTGTCTAAATCTTTTCATATCTTAGCATAGACATCAGGAAATGTCTTTGGGTAAGTGGGTTAAATATTCTTTTCTCCATTTCTCTTTTAATCTTATAAATTACTATGGGGTTTTGACTGGTGACACGTACTCCAAAATCCAAATCCAATCAATTTTAAATATTAATTTTTGTTGCGGGTGCTTTGAGTATAGGAAACATGCTTTGAGTATAACGATCAGTTATCGGCCACCGGTCACCGCAACTCCGCCCTAGCTGAACAAAACTTCTGGATTCGCCCCTGGTGATGTGGTGAACTCAGGGTGAATATGATGGTTGACAGATGGTGGCGACGATTGATCTAGTTCGGATGACATAGAAATGAGAAGCGGGAAGTTCTTTGAAAGTGTAGGATGTAGATTAAATGGCGGTGGTGCAGTGGTGGTGCGGTGGTGGCGATGTCGGTAGTGATGACCATTATATGTTACTTGTGACTCTTTGTGACTAAGTATGTTTTAATTGTGATCAAATATATTTTTATTGTGGTTATGTGATTAGATTTGTTTTAACTGTGGCTGTATGTGGCCAAGTTAATAGTGACTTGGTCACATACAGTTACAATTTAGACTAATATGGTAACATACATCACGTTAAAGATAAATTTGGTCACAATTAGTCGCAGATAATATGGTTTAGTCACAAACAATAAACAATAACAATAACAATTTAAACAGATTTGGTCACAAGCAATTATTGTTAAATAGAATGTGGTCACATACAGCACAAAGCACGTCGTTAATAGGTCACGGGCATGTTGAGATTTTATGAAATTTAAAAATCTGTTCAGAAAATATGAATTATCATTAGGGCTGCGACTAAATTATTGAGTTTAGGAATTCAATTGAAAGTGGTTATGAACGACGGAATTTTTTAGAGGATAGAATGTTGGATAGTGTACTGATATAGATGGTATTTTTATGAGGGGAAGATCCGATGACATTGGTGCATGTGCGCTGATAGACGATTGGAAAGTGTATTGGTATCGATATAGATGGAGTTTTGATGTGAGGAACAATACATCTGCTATATCGTTAACTGTTAGATTAATTCTTTTCAAGGGATTGAAAGGCCCAAATGCCATTGTCAAGCCCATTTTTGCTGCCATTCCTGTTGCGATTGCAGATAGTGAAACACAATTAACTCTAATTCCAAGTACATATGGGTAACAAAATTTCGGTTGAAGCTGGTGGTTAATGGAGCTGTATCAGAATATGTAGATTTGAAATTAGGAGAGTATGAATTTTGAATTTGAGGAATATGTAGACAATTTCAAATATCTGATTTTAGGTGGTGATCACAAGGGGTGGTTGTGAGTGGGTAGAGTATTGGGTGTTCAACAGGCAATGGGCGTCAATGGTGACAGGCGACAATTGGCTTCGACGATTTTGGGTATGGGAGATGGGGGTGGATTTGGGAATAATTGACTTAAGTGATAGAGTGAGGTGGTGTGGGGAGTAGGGTGTGGTGATTGATTTATACCTGATTTTTGAATACATTATACAAGTTTGATATTTTTGAAATTCTATTCTTAATAATGTTTAGTAGCAATGATTTTTTTTCCAAATATTTATTCTTGCATAATTCTAACTTTGCTGAGTTATTATAAGGGAAAATTACACAAACTCCCACCTTTAAACTTTCAAATTCAAATATAAGGTATAAAACTATTTTTTTCAAAATTCAGGTGAAAAATTAAATTTATAATAATTATAAAATTAAATTAATTATATACCTAACCCATATACGATCCACCCACCACACATATGGTCAACCCAATTGTTCGAGTAGAAGAAAGGGAAAATTATACAAAATCCTACCATTAAACTTTCAAATTCTAACATAAGGTATAAAACTATTTTTTTCAAAAATTAGGTGAAAAATTAAATTTTTAATAATTATAAAATTAAATTAATTATATACGTAACCCATCTATCCACCCACCACAATTTCAAATCCCTAATCTCTCTCCTCCCTATCCCTATCCCTATCCCTTTCCCTTCTCTCTCTCTCTCAATCTTCCGTCCACCATCTCCGCCTTCTGCAACTCCTCAACCGCCTCTCCATCCATATTTTCTTGTCAGCAATGGCTTCGAAATGCAGCCGAATCATCAACAGAACTTCCATTTCAACTCTCGGATTTGTCTTGAAGAAAACAAATTCTCCTTCTTGCCTTCCCAGAACCTCCACGACGTCGTTTCCTAAACCATCTCTGCCTTCAAAACCCGCCCCTTCAATCTGGAGGTGTCGGGCAGTGCTAGGATGCGTGGCGTCAATGCTGCCTCTGCATAGCGTCCAACGATGCCGATCCTACTGCAGTTGCTTGAGCTCAACACGAGGAGTTGCAGGGCTCTTTCTCAGGGCACATGAGTTTCCAAATGCTTGAAAGAAATACCATAATTTTACGAGGTCTCTATAATGATTCAGTGTGTTATGCTCATGTATTAAACCTTGGTTAACAATTTTTTGAAATCGAGTTTTATACTCTTATTTTGAAGGATACAGAGAACAATAAATGCATGACTTTCTTTCTGTATATTTAATAATTTTTTGAACGCAAGGGATTTGGCTGCATTTTGGTGGACTAATAAAATATCTGCAGTGAATCTTATTTATTGCTGATTTTGAATATTTAAAAAAAAAACTCCTCAGCCGTTTGCCCAATTGTTTGAGTTTCAGTAGTAGTTAGAGTTGTGGGGATTGTGTTGGTGGTAAGGTTAGTTGCCTTCTCAGTCGTTTGAACGTTTGATTGTGACCGATTTTGTGTTGATTGTGACCTATTGTGACCGATTGTGACTTGAGATTGACCTGGTCACAAACAGTCACACTCAATGCAAATTTGGTCACAGTTAGTCACATTGAATACATACTTGGTCACAGTTAGTCACATACAGTCACACTGAACACAAATTTTTTTTTCGGTAATTTT